ATGTATGTATGTATGTATGTATGTATGTATGTATGTATGTATGTATGGATGGATGGATGGATGGATGGATGGATGGATGGATGGATGGATGGATGGATGGATGGATGGATGGATGGATGGATGGATGGATGAAAAACTGAAAACTGTGGTGTATCTGAATACTCTGCATTAAGGGTTAATGCTTTACGCATGTTACGTTACAGAAAGTATAGTAGACCAATAGGATTGTGTGTGTGGGATCACGGGGTTGGACGTGTTACGTCAGCAGGAAGTTTTAATAAAGTATGGTTAACGTCAAGACACAGTTGGTCCGTGCTGAATTATTATCTCCCTAAAATAGGAGATACGACATGGTGTCAGAAGTGCTGTGTTTATGACGGGAAAGTAAAAGTTGAAACGGAACTTGGTCCACGGCGACAGAGACGGAGGGAGAGACAGTGGTGGATGTTATGACGGAACAACGTGAGGAAAACGTTAACGTGCAGCAAAGGGAAGTGAGCATGGCGGCTAGCGCACCCACTGCTACATTTAACATCCAGCCACCGGAGCCCTTCGATTTCGGCAAACCGCTCGAATGGACAAAATGGATCCGGAGGTTCGATAGATTTCGGCAAGCGAGCAACTTGGCCACGAACTCCGAGGAAAACCAGATTAACACTCTGATATATTGTATGGGGGATGAAGCCGACGATGTATTGAGAGGACTAAAGCTGAGTGATGCCGACAAGAAAGAATATGACAAGCTAAAAAAAGGATTCGTGGATTTCTTTGTTGTGAAAAGGAACATTGCGTTTGAACGTGCATGCTTCAATTTGCGAAAACAAGAGCCTAATGAGACTGTCGAAGCATTTGTCACTGCCCTGCATGCTCTAGCAGAGCACTGTAAATACGGGGACTTGCATGATGAGCTCATACGAGACAGGATCGTAGTGGGACTTGCAGACACCAGACTTTCCGAACGACTGCAGATGGAGGGAAATTTGACTTTACAAAAAGCCATAGATATGGCAAGGCAGTCGGAAGAAGTGAAAAAGCAACAGAGCACACTTAGGAGTGACGCTAGCAGTGTGATGCAGATGGAGAGTTGCTCCGTAGACAGACTGATTAAAAAGGGACAGAAATATTCAAACCTGAAAAACAGTGGTGCACGTGCACGCCAACACACGCAAGGCAGAGACATGCAGCACAGCACCCAGTGTTTCAAATGTGGAGGTCCTTCTCACGCCAGAGCAGAATGTCCCGCCAATGACACAAAATGCCGGGGCTGCGGAAAAAAAGGCCACTACCAGCGCGTATGTAGAAACAAGGCTGTAGTAGCGTGCATTGAGGAAGAAGAGAGGAAAAGTTTCTTCCTGGGTTCTGTGACATGCAAAACCAATAAGTGGGAGGTGGATGTGCAGATAAAAGAGAAACGGCTGAAGTTCAAACTTGACACTGGGGCAGATGTAACTGCCATTTCTGAGAGTGACCTGAAAGACTTGTACCCGGGGGCACAAAGGCCTGTTCTCCATGAGCCAGAGAAACCCTTGCTGGGTCCAGGAAAGATACAGCTGGGGGTAGTAGGCTATGCAAAAATGCAGCTGACTTACAAAGCCAAGCAGACGGAGGAGAAGGTTTATGTGGTCAAAAACCTGGGCACACCTTTGCTCGGGTTACCAGCCATTATTGCCTTGGGCATACTTATTCGAGTTGACAGTGTCACTATGGACTCCTTAAAGACAACCTACCCAAAACTTTACAAGGGCCTAGGCGACACTCAACGACCTTACCATATCAAGCTCAAGCCAAATGCTGTACCTTTCTCTTTAAAGACACCACGGAGAATCCCTCTGCCTCTGGTGGAAAAGGTGAAGGAGGAGCTCCAGCGGATGGAAGAGATGGGGGTCATCAGGCGCGTTGAGGAGCCTACAGATTGGTGCGCTGGCATTGTCGTCGTCCCAAAGAAGAACAACCAGCGACTACGCTTGTGTGTGGACTTCACAGGCTTGAACCAGTATGTGTGCCGCGAGAAGTATGTACTGCCATCAGTCGATCAGAGCCTAGGGATGCTAGCTGGAGCCAGAGTCTTCAGTAAACTAGACGCGAACATGCGGTTCTGGCAGATTCCCTTAACAGAGGAGTCAGCGAAACTCACAACATTTATAACACCTTTCGGACGGTACCATTTCCAGCGTCTTCCGTTTGGAATCAACTCTGCGCCAGAACACTTCCAGCGTGTAATGGCAGAGGTCATAGACGGACTGGACGGGGTGGTCTGCCACATCGATGACCTGCTGGTGTGTGGAAAAGATCAAGAGCAGCACGACATTCGTCTACATGCCCTGCTGAAAAAGCTCGAGCAAGCAGGGGTAACGTTGAACACAGACAAGTGTGAGCTCTCCAGGAGTGAAGTGGTCTTCCTTGGGCATGTCATCACCGCCTCAGGTATCAGGCCCGATCCAGAGAAGATAAAGGCTATCAGGGACATGAAAGAGCCTATGAACGTGAGCGAGTTGAGAAGCTTCCTGGGGATGGTAAACCAGGTGGGAAAATTCATACCCCAGCTGGCAGAGAAAGACAAAGCTCTCCGTGACCTCCTCTCAAAGAAAAATTGCTGGCTGTGGGGTGTAGACCAGGCGGAGGCTTTCAGGGTGCTGAAAGAGGCACTAACCTCTCCACCGGTCCTGGCAATGTATGACACGAACAGGGACACCAAAGTATCGGCAGACGCTTCATCGTATGGACTGGGGGGCGTGCTCCTCCAGAAATGGGACAGTGAGTGGAGGCCAGTAGCCTACGCATCCCGCTCACTTTCACCCACCGAGCAACGCTACGCACAAGTCGAAAAGGAGGCCCTGGGCCTAACCTGGGCATGTGAGCGCTTCCGGGACTTTTTGTTAGGAAAGCATTTCTGCCTAGAGACTGACCATAAACCTCTCCTTAGCTTACTAGGCGCACAAGCACTCGACCTGTTGCCACCAAGGATACAGCGTTTTCGAATGAGGCTCATGCGCTACTCCTATGACATTGTGCATGTTCCGGGGAAGTCACTCTGGACTGCCGACACGTTGTCACGGTCACCAGTACAGAAACAAATGACCGCAAATGACACTGAACTAATGGAGAGCACAAACATTTACGTGGACTGCATTGTCAACAATTTACCTGTCAGTCCCACGTTTATGGACACACTCAAGGCACAGCTGGAGGCTGACAGTGTATGCTCTCGCGTCATGAAAATGTGTGCAGACGGATGGCCAGAGCACGCAAAGCAGGAACCGCTTCAGAAAAATGTCTGGCCTGAACAGGCCACACAAGATGGACTGTTGCTGAAGGACACACGTCTGGTCATTCCAGCAACAATGCGGAACGATGTGCTAAACAGGCTCGGACAACAAATCACAGAGATGGTGCTCAGATGTAAAACGTGCCTGCAAGAGCGCCGCAATCACAGTGAGCCACTCATGCCATCAGAATGCCCTGAGCGTCCGTGGCAAAAGCTGGGGGCCAACCTTTTTGAGCTGGGGGGGAAAACATATCTCCTTGTTGTTGATTACTTCTCCAGATATGTCGAGCTTGCCCTGCTGTCACACACAAAATGCAAGGATGTGATTAATCATCTAAAATCAATGTTTGCCAGGCATGGCATCCCAGAGAGTTTCATGTCTGACAATGGACCTCAATTTTCCGGTCAAGCGTTCGCTTCCTTTGCCGCAGCATATGGGTTCAAACACCTTACCAGTAGTCCCAAATTCCCACGTAGCAATGGCGAGGCTGAGCGAGCTGTGCAGACCATGAAAAATCTTCTGAAGAAGGCAACCGACCCGTACATGGCTCTTCTCGCATACAGAGCCACTCCTCTTCAGAACGGATACAGCCCAGCACAGTTGCTCATGGTTCGACGTCTCCGCACCACAGTGCCGACACATCCCTCTGAGCTACAACCTGAGCTGCCTGACCGCAGCTTGCTGTTTCAGAAAGAAAGGGTGAAGAGGATGACAGATGCTGCAAACTTCAACAGGCGTCATCGTGCGAAGCCACTCGGGAGCCTGTCATCAGGTCAGAATGTGTGGATAACTGACACACAAACATCAGGGACAGTGATCCAGAGTCACACCTCTCCGAGATCGTACCTTGTGGATGCGCCACATGGAGTGGTAAGACGAAACCGCATGCATCTTATACCACTCCAGTCTCCAGCACAAGATGAGGGTGGACAGCAGCAACAGGAGCCACTGCCGGTCCTAGAGCAGGATCATGCACCACCTGCTGTGGGGTCTCCTGTGCACTCTCCGGGGGTTTCTATTCCCAGAACAACCAGGTCTGGGAGAGTGATTAAACAGCCCACTAGACTGAACTTATAAATAAAATCAAATAAAGAAAAAGATTTTGTTAATCTTCAGGATGTGTTAAAATGTTGTTTTACAATGTACCAGTTACAGGGGACACATATACTACAGAAAATAAGTTTGTAAATGTCGTATTTGGAAATAGGAGTTAGGATGTAATGAAAAGAGAATCAGAAGTTTTTGTTAAGGATTCGTTTAACACTGTTCTCTTCCACAGGTTTTGATGGACTTTTATCCAGAAAAAAAGGGAGATGTGGTGTATCTGAATACTCTGCATTAAGGGTTAATGCTTTACGCATGTTACGTTACAGAAAGTATAGTAGACCAATAGGATTGTGTGTGTGGGATCACGGGGTTGGACGTGTTACGTCTGCAGGAAGTTTTAATAAAGTATGGTTAACGTCAAGACACAGTTGGTCCGCGCTGAATTATTATCTCCCTAAAATAGGAGATACGACAAAAACTATATGAAAACTGAAAACTATATGACAATATATTGTCTGTATGTCAGTGAGTGATTTCGGTATACACAACAGAGTAACAAAACCTCAAATCTCTTGTCTCTTTAACGTCAAACCTTCAAACCTTACTCTGTTGGTCCAAATTTTGAAGTCTCTTAAATTATATCACCCAAGCTATAAGGACTCAAGTGTCATTTGATGCAGTATGTCTCTTTTTTTAGTGTTCTGGTTAAAAGTGCTACATCACAACTTTTAAAATTATGTCAATTCTTTCAGATTCTCACTCCAGTACCTGTGCGTCAGCACCAAGCTGTTCCAAAATAATGCTTCATAACTCACTTCACAGACCATAAGGCATAATTATGTCACAGCTGGTCTTTTATTACTGTTATTGTATGTTTTCTTCCGCAAACAAAACCTGTGAGCTTGTAGTAAAAAATGGGAACTGTTACAACACAATCGAGTACTTTGAATTACAGACAAGAAATTCTAGCAAAAATCAACAACAGAGCAATGATTCTATGCTCTGTTTTCTGTAGCAGTATTTTTAAAAAATCATTTTACCACAAATTAACAGTGAGAAGAATTCTAAATTGAAAAAAGTGCTGGAGTTATTACATTGGATGGCTCTCCCTCTATTGAATCCACCCAAACAAACACTGCAGCCCTGTGCTGTTAAGACAAAGGGCTTTTATTCGTTTCCCATGAATGTCTGCTTATTTTGCTCGGTCACTAAGGGTGACAAATAGATGATTCACTGTCACACAAGTAGTGCTGGAACATTCCTCATGCGCAGGAGATGCCTTCCTCTGTTATACAAAAGAATCAATATAGACACTTGCATCTTAAAATGTAGAAGTTATGTGAGATATGCCAGTCATATCTGTGACCGATTTATTGCTGTCTGCAGGGGGTGTAAAGATATTTTGGGCTATAACTTTATTATTATTATTACTTTATTATTTATTATTTCTGCCCTTGCCAGCCATAAAAAGGGCAACCTGTCAGAGTGATTTATGAGACAGATTTCAACAGCAGAAAACATATATATATATATTAATTAAAAAGAGGTAAAGGCAGAGATAAAGAGGAAAAACAGGCAGAAGAACTGAAAGACAAGAGATACAAGAGTAAAGGTAAAGATAAGAGAGGATGGAGAAGAGGAACAGGTAGACGGATTACATAAATGTCAACAGTGCAGCAGTAGTGAGAAGGCAATTATTGACAATCATGCTGATGGAAGAGCTGCGGCGCAAAGGAGAGATGGTTCGCCAAATAAACCCCCTGCAGTCCTTCTCTGTCTGTCCTGCCCTCGGCCTCTCCTTCCCTTCACTGCTTCTCTCTTTACTTTAAGAGCAATTACAAACATGCCAACAAATCTAGGTCTCCGACAGTTATATTTGTGGATTACTAATGCTATTTCCATCAAGTTCCACATTTTTTTTGCTTTTCCCCCCATAGTCACTCTGACCATTATTGCTGTCTGGAGGGGGTGTAAAGATATTTTGGGCTAGTCCGCAAAAAAAAGTCCTTGGACAGTATACAATGTCATGCCGACATGATAGCCATTCTTATAGATCCCTGTAATGGTGAGGGAAAAAAAGTATATTTCTCTGACTTTTGCCTTTCACAATCCTGTCCCCTGTCATGTCACACATAGCTGCTACAAAGAGCAGGGGCTCTTTTGAAAATAAAGTCAAAAGAAGAATTCAATCATAAACTGATAAAGTCAACTATTGAAAGGTTTAATCTGTCAAAGAACTTTGAATGTGAGAGTTTCTTTAAATGCATTCTTGCATTGATTCTATAACGACTAATTTAAAAATACTTGGGGGTTTCTACCAAAGAAAGGGAAATATTGATGCTGTATGAAACTAAGAATACCCGGTGCCTTTCGTATAAATTGGGATAAGTGCTTTGATGAAGTAACCTCAAGCGCAACCTGCTCCTTGATCTAACATTGAGAATGACAACTTTTGTGCTCTTAAACACCAAACCAACATGAATATCTGACAATTATGCAAGTGGACATAGCTTTCCATACCAGTAGAGGGTAGTTGCCCTGGAATAAACAAAAGGGAAAGAAAAATATCACCTTCATCTTAAAGGGAAAAAAACAACAACAGAGCAATGATGTTCTTCTGCTTGCCTCAACGTTTTTCTGTTCTTTAAGCAAAATGGCCAGTAAGAATATCTGCCAATAAAATGTTTTTCCTTTTAGTCATAGAGAAAGATGCAGTCATGGATGACACGCCATGACTACTATGATATGGTGAACAGCCAATTCTAATGTTCTATCTCACTGACGCTGATTTATCATACTGAATAAATCTGAGGCTTAAAAAAATCATTGAGTTGAGAAAGGGGTAGATTTTTGGCCATGCTCCAGAAGTCCCTGACTGGCTGACTGTCCACTTGATGTAAAAGGCCCTGGAAAACTACATTAGATAAACAGATAAAGATGCAATACCTCATATTTAATCTGTCACTCTCGAAGAATCCCCAAAAAGTTGGACTTCACCGATAAGAAACAATAAAAACTTAAATTGTTGATGATGAGAAAGAGATTTTACACAGTCTAGACTGGAAAAACCAGCTTCAAAATAGCTTACACAAGTCTGTTGAAGAGGGAAAATAAATCTAGCTAGTAAATGATGAAATGAAGGAATTTGGGGAGTTTTTTGAAAATATATCTAGGAATGAGAAGCTCTGACTATTTACAGTCAGAACATTCCAGAAACCTGGAGGCTGCAACACAGAAAACTCTATCTCTGCACGTTGGCTTACTGATTTAGAGGAGGGAGACGCTTTTCTGTTTTTCTGATAACTTCTGATAAAGCCTGTTCTTGTTTAATTACTAAGATCTCAGAGTTCCTTTTCATTTTGACTTAAAACTAATTGAAATCATTAAAAAATATCCTATATTCAAACAAGACCAAATGACAACACACTTAGCTGAACATTTGCTTCTGGGGATGAATCCAAATTTTATGTGCATGGCAGCAAACCCGATAAACTATTAGCAACCCTACTCAAGAACCCTGGGGCAAGGGAAACTATTCCTGAAATTCTTAAACAGGATGGCAGTATGGTCACAGATCATAGACAAATGAATGATGCATTCAGGGACTCCTATTCAGAGCTCTACAGCTCACAGTCGACTTCCAAGCCAAACTTGAAATCCCTGTAATTTCACCTAGATTCTTGCCAATATACTTGACACCGGTCTGCTGTCAACTATTTCAAAGAGAAAACATATTTCATTAAAGGTCACCATTAATATTCTAATGTATGAAGGTTGCTCAACATTGTTTATTCCAGCCCCTCACATTTGGCTGAGTATGTTGTCACTCTTGGTGTTAAAAAAAGCCTTTGATCGGGTTGAGTTTGAAAATAATTTTGCAGTTTTTAGTAGACTGGATTTTAGGGGAAAATTCACGGCATGGATCCAATTATTGTATCATCAGCCATCCGCTACAGTTTTTACTGACTCTCAAACATCAAAACCATTTGAAATACAAAGACGAGGGCTGTCCTCTTAGCCCCTGCTTTTTGATCTGGCTGTAGAGCCCTTCACCATTGCACTTCGTAACAGTAAGCGATGGCTGGCATTTGGAGAAAATAAAATTTTATATAAGGGGTCGCTTTATGCAGAAAACCTTCTCCAAACCGTCAACTTCACTGCCTTTTGCCCTCAATTTTGCCCTCAATCTCTTTAGCCAATTTGGTAATCTTTTATGTTACTTTTACAGGCGTTATTTTGTTCTCTGTTAACAAGGCGCGCAATTTTAATCAGATCGAAGTTACTCCTGGAACATGTGCATGCTTGAGACTACAAATAAACAAGATGTTTTCTGAAGGACTCTACTGAGAAGTTTAAAAAACATGAGGCCCCTTTCTTGATACATTTCAAAATGTAAAATAATATCTCAATTGAATTACCTAAGGCAGTGGCTTGGGAAGGATTGACTGGGATTATATAGGGATTATTATGTTGTATTATATTATTTTGTCCCCCGCAACCCCATTAGGGAATAAGCAGTTACGAGAATGGATGGATGGATGGGTTGCTGGATGGATGAATGGATGGATGGATGGATGGATGGATATAGTTTTTGTTTCCATTTATTTTTATTTGTATATATTATTTATTTATTTTTTAAGATTGTATGTCCATCCATCCATTTTCCACCGCTTATCGGGTTCGGGTCACGGGGGCAGCAGGCGAAGCAGGGAAACCCAGACTTTCCTCTCCCCTGCCACTTCTGCCAGCTCCTTCAGGGGGATCCCAAGGCGTTCAGGGGCCAGCTGAGACAGTCCCTCCAGCGTGTCCTAAGCCTCCTCCTGGTGGGATGTACCCAGAACACCTCACCAGAGAGGCGACCGTGAGGCATTATAATCAGATGTCCGAGCCACCTCAACTGGCTCCTATCAACATGGAGGAACAGCGGTTCTACTCTGAGACCCTCCTGGATGGCCAAGCTTTTCACCCTATCTCTAAGGGAGAGCCCAGCAACCCTGTGGGGGAAACTCATTTCAGCCGCTTGTATCCGC